ATTTGCACTCTGATCTCTTCAAGTGCTCAGCGGTCCACCAAAAACTTCAGTATTTAACTCTGCCAGAGGTGTCAAAAGCCTGTGTCCCTCCTGCATGCTGTGGTTCCTCCTGCTGGCTAGACTACAATAGTTAAATAGGGGCCGGCGGCAGAAAACATTGAGCACAGTGGGGGGTGCAGGCATTCAACATTTCCAACAATGTTGAATGCTGAAGTCTTTGTGGCATATTAGTGCTTAAAGAAGACCTCTGGGGACATTTTTATCAACCCATGCAGTGGGGTGACCCCCGCACTACAAGGGTTAACTGCTCATTTGTTTCTAGGTGGTAAAAAAAAAGTTATACTGACCCGATCATTCCAGCCGGTTTGTTCTTAGGCAGGTCCCTAGAGCCTCTCTCCCCCTCTGCAGTGGTCTAAGAGTTCTTGTGTCATCACGCTGTATACAAGTGTATAGACATGAGGAAGCTGAGAAACATTCCATCTGTGCAGAAGAAGAGGAGACACGCTTCAGTGACTGGAGAAGCGGGGAGTCAGCTCAGCAGTTCGGGTCAGTATAACTTTTTAACACCTAGCTGAAGCTAGCAGTTATACCATTGCAGTGCGGGGGTAGCACCACTGCAGGGGTTTAAAAAAACCTTTCCCTGGAGTTCTTATTTAAAGAAAGCAGACTTTTGAATTCACTGCCTGCTGGAGAGGTAATATTCCCAGTCTTTTATTGCTGGAAGCAATTCTTCAGATTTTGCTCTAGGTCTTCAGCTAGTACATCACTACTAGAATTTTGAAGTTGATCTTAATAGCCTGCTGTCTTTTTTTATCCTTGCTAACTGCACTAACAAGAAAGGAGGGTTATAAATATTTTGGGAAGAGCAGAAAAACTAAAAAATGCAGAGGACTGAGGAAGGCTGTAACAGTTGTCATTATCACTATATTTTGTCATGTAAATATGGAATGTATTAAACCACAAATGAAAAAAGGACTTTATATATACATCTTGCAATTCTTGCTTTTACACAGATCACGTTCTATGAAGATAAGAACTTCAAAGGTCGCTCTTATGAGTGTAGCAATGATAATAATGACCTGCACACTCATGTGAGCCGCTGCAACTCTATCAAAGTTGACAATGGCTCTTGGATGATCTATGAGCAGGCTAACAACAAAGGTCATCAATATTTTCTCAAAAAAGGAGAATATCCTGACTATCAACACTGGAATGGATTCAATGATACCATCAGTTCTTGTCACATGATTCCACTGGTCAGTAATAAATCTTTTTCTCTTCTATGTGAATCATTACGTAACATTGTTGGACAGAATTTAGGAATAAATGAATATCAATGTATATCAGGTATAAGTCACAGTATTTAGGGCAATGTATACACAGTTGCCATTGTTGGGTCAAGTCAGATTTTATTTTTTTAACTCTTGGATCTAGTAGGGAATTGTTAAAATCTCCCTTAGTAGACACAACAGGAAGTGAGAGGAACACTCTCCAGAGTGGGAGAAAATTCCCTATTAGACAGTTTCATCAGTACAAGTGTTATGATTCGAAGATTTTCCCTCTATTCTTGCTCTGCTGACAGCTCCAAATTTAGGATTTTCCCTTGCTATGAGTCTCCATGACTATTGTCACAAAGACAAATAGAGAATATGAATTTCCCAAGCAGGGACACAGACAGTGATTCAATTTTGAAAGGTGTTCTAACCCATAAGTATTCTTTCAAAAACAAAAACAAATTATTTTGGCTATATATATATAATTGTCTTTTGTAATTTGTAAAACTTTCTGACAAAAAACCCCTGTACACACATAAGTATATATATATATACTGTATATATAAACTTTGTGATACAGCAATTGTTTTGTGGTTTGATTTAGAAACATGATTTAAAGGCAAATGTCTTGCTTTGATATTCAGTTATTTCTGCTTATAGCAATGATGAGTGGTTAAAAGAATTTATTTTTTGCTGCTGATGGTTCTATCTTGAAGGCATATGTTATATACTTTATGTAAGGTTATTCATCTTCAGTGTATATTTATCACATACCAAAACGTGTATCTTAATATGCCTCTACAGCATACTGGATCTTTTGTGATCAGACTGTATGAAAAGGAAGATTTCAGGGGACAAATGGTGGAATTCACAGAAGATCGTCCACATATCTATCAAGGTTTCAACCATCGTGAAATCCATTCTTGCAATGTTATTGAAGGCCACTGGATTTTCTATGAGGAACCCACCTACAAAGGACGTCAGTATTATCTGAGACCCGGAGAGTACAGGAGATTCAGTGATTGGGGAGCAGTAAATGCAAGAGTTGGTTCCATTAGACGAGTACAAGACTTTTATTAAACTTTAAAACAATGTATCATTGTATCTCATCATAACATCTGATAAATCTATTTGCTCACAAACATTCTCTGAATCTTTTCATTTCTTTGGGAAAATCACTGTTTTTTTTAATCTTTGCTATAAAAGTGCTTAGGAGCTCTCAGAATAAACGGCATTTACAAATGAAGATTTCATGTTTGTCTTAAAGTGAACTTGAACTAATGGAAAAAGTGGAGATATGATCCGTTATAGGGAATATTTAGGAATATTAATTGTGCTTTAGCAGTGCCCTGAAGAGTTACCATTTATCTTAAATTCCTTCTGAATCCTTGCACTGTATGTGAGCCTGCCAAGGCACTTCTTTGTATACACCCTCAGAACTGTATATCTGCAGTGTTTACTCTGAGGGACTCCAGCCTCTGGCTATTGCTCACTGTTCTCCTTGCTGAAGGCCCTGACATGAGGAACCAAAGACATACCTCAACACAGAGACACAGTACAAAACAATATATGATAAGTCAGTAACGGGTCAGCTGTAGGGAGACCACCGGTGACCAGAACTTGGCTCTCTGCCTGAATTTTTTTGGGCACAGCTTCCAGAGTTTAGTTAAAAATATTGATGTAAAACCCTGCACATACACATAGAAATGCACATAAAGCCACAGGGTCTTTGGAGTTTTCTACAATATCTAGCTAAAAAGATTTGCAGAGACATGATGACTATTACACTTTAGTATTATTATGCACTGGTATCATAAATATTACACACTCTACAAACTCACTGTTATTTTCCTGGATTTTTCCATCTTCATCATTAACACTGCATTAATCTACTTTAAACTTGAACCTGTGGCCAGGCTATGGTTATTCAGATATGTCCACACTCTTAACAAGCAGTAAATGGGCTTTAAAGGAAGACCTCACTAGCCTATGTAGCCACAGATACTGTGGAGCCATGCATCCTCTATTTTACAAAAGAAGCCCCTCCCTAGCTGTCAATTTGATAGGTGTCAGACATAACAGGCAGTAAATGGAAATCCAGGGACATAGGCAGTAAAAAATTTACTACCATTTACTAATTAGGAGGGAGGTTAAGAGCCACTGTCAGAATTATATTGATCTGTGTCCGCAGGAGGGACATTTCTCTTTACTTCCTGTCAAGGTGATGGGTATCAGGGAGAAAAAAAAGAGAAAAGACATTTCCTCTACAGGAACACAGGCCGCATTTCAAACATGGCAAAAGTTCTAGCACTTCCCTGCTCTATTCAAAATGTAAAAAGCTTATTTCTAAACTACCTAGATTAGATTATTAATTTCTATTAATTATTCAGAGCACCAGAATATAGATGGACACTGTATATGGACATGATATAGTGCTTAAGAACACCAGTAGTAGTTACATGGTGTAGATGTTATATTTTGAAGATTGTTGACCACAATATTTACTATTTAATTTATTATTGACATATTTATTCACTATTTATTAGAAGCACATCGATTATTGATATTATATTTAAGAGGTGAATTCTTCTTTTAGTGCCTGCTGCTCTACAGAGATTGGCGCAAGGTACAATTTGAGACTTAGTGGTAGAATTTGTAACCACCATCTTATGACTATGGAAACCTTAATTTGACAAACATATTCCACAAGCTTACTCCATAACATAGTTTTGGGTTGACATCAGTGGATGATATCCCTCACTGCTGCAATACTGCCAGCTGCCCAATGATAAGTTTTTTCTAAAACAAGTTAGGATAGATGTTCAAATGTCAACCAAGAGTGCACAAAGGGTGAGCTCCACAATGAGATCTTCTTGCCTTCAGCATGCCAAATCTTACTTGTATCTGAGTTTTACAGAACATGGAGTTCTGATTCCTCTGGCATTCACACCATGCCTGCTTATTCATTTTTGATATTTGTTTTTTAATGAAGAGAGTAACTGTGTTTCTCTGGAGGTTTTTATTGCTGCCTGTGTAGAGTAGGGGAGTGAAGGGAGATACACCCCCTCTACTTGCCCTAGTGATCACTGTCATTGGGACAGAGCGGGAAGAAATGAGATGTTCACACATGTACTTGGAACAGGAAGTTAGGTGAAATCTTTATATAATACCTGTTCTGGTGACGACTGTCAAAAGTAAAATTTACCTTAATTTTAAAGTAACATCTGTTCACTTTCTGGTGTATCTTAAAGGGGAAAAGTTCTACTTTAAGTAGTCAATTTTGGAAAGTGTTTATCCATTAAATAGATATCCAGCCAAAACTGTATAGGTATTTTGGGTAGAATGGGGGGAAGATGGGAACCTAACATTAAAAGACCATGGCTTAGATGTACTTTCCACTCCAGAGGAGTGTCCATTCTGATTAACAAAACTTTGCCTTTAAAGTGTCCAGTTGCCTGCATTATCACGGTTTATCTTTCATCCTCACCTTGCAGTGATATTTTACCACTGCTGGAGAAAAACTTCAGGCAGTTTAGGTAGCTGAAATTTCACAGTGATATGCTACCATAAACAGTGGTGAAATATCTCCATGATGTGTTTAGAAAAGTTTGGAAAGCAGAGCAGGGAAGGCTTAAGAAGACATCCATGGGAGTAATCCTATTATCCTTAAAGCGGACCTTTACTCATATCTTTAAAATAACAACAAACACACATACTTCTAGATATTTGCAGGCTTTGTATTCTTTGCATACCTTATTTCTCTTTTCTTCCCCAGTCTTCTGGTAGTGGTCATGATTACTAAGGGCAGATTACTAGCTGTCAGGGGATCCCAGTGCAGGTGACCCCACACCTGCACAGGTACCCTTACAGGCAGACCAAACACATGTGACCACACGGACCAGGTAAGTATGGTATATATAAAATATTTTAATAAACCTAGCAAGCTAACTAAAACAATCCACAACAGACATAAACCAAAAATGTCACAACACAGGAAACCGGGTAACACAGGAAACAGGGTACTAACATAGCATGCAAATATCAGGGTCTCAGGGTTCAGGCCAGTGGACTCAGACAACAGAGGAAAGCAACAATATCCTGAGCCAAGGTCCAGACTGCAGGGAGGGTTTAAATACTCTCCCAGGAGTATTACCTAATGGGCTGATTCCTGACAGCTGGGAGACACCCACAGGTGAGCACTGGAGCTGCAGGTACCAGCACCACCCAGTGGTGGTCTGGCACCTAGCAGCCCCTGGCTGCCTGGAGAATCCTGCAGGTGAGCCCAGGAACTGCAGGGCTCAGCTCCAGCGCCACCTGGAGGCGCTCTGGATCCTAACACTAGCTCTCCTACTGCTTTCTTGAATTCTGGCACATGTGACTACACATGTGACTAGACATGTGACCAGAACATGTGACCATTCACATCATCTCAGGGGAGGAAAATGCCTTTCCCTGAGAGTTCATAAGATTACAGATGAGACTTCCCAGCAATGCTCTGCTGATGACAAGGCAATCCCAGTGTGCATTGCATTGGCAATCTGAAGTCATTTGCACTTTCAAAGCAGGAAGTGAATGGTGTGCAAGTGTAAGTATTTCAAAATCACAGCATTTTACACCTGACATGTCTATGCAATTATTAATCATCATACATAGAGGGATGCGTTGATAGAATTTGATTTTTGAGTGCAAAGGTCCACTTTAAGGTGGTCATACATTGTACAATTTTCATCCGAAGTTTATCGCTTCTAGTAGGGGAACCCTTGTTCGATTATACCTAGACTTCCCCATCAATTATAGTCAAAAGTCAATTTTGGAAATAGTTTGTTAGCCATACTTACCAACCAATTTTTGACAAACAATGTAAGTAATTTCTTTTGGCGCATCTGTTGTGTTCTTTTTTTTTTTACAAACAAAATCCCCACTGATTCATCGATTTTCGTTCGGTCAGAAAACAATTTTCCAACCTGACTGTATAAAAAATTTCAATCACAATATCAAAAACAAAATTGATGCTGTACCATCAACTGTTCGATTTTGATTTGAAAGACTGTTTGTGTATTTCCTGAACAAAAATCGTACAATATTTGGCCACCTTAAGAGACAGAAAAATGCGATGGGCTTTGGGAGCCACTTGCTGCCTGGCTTGAAAGTAATGAGACGAGAAGCGCAGTGCGCATAGCTCCTTGCTTGCCTTGTTTGTGTGTGTGCCCAAAAAGTGGGTGTAATAAATAAAGAGGGTGTTGCTTTATGGTGTATGGCTTGTAGTGTGTCACCCCACGTTTCTTGGCTGGAAGTACTCTGAAGAGATTGCGAGAGTACAAGTATGATATACTTATTGTTGGTGTCAGTGCCAGAAGTGATAACCCCCATCATGTATCGGCAATAATAACCCCCAGCATGTATCATAGCCAGCAATAACCCCCGTCAAGTCAAGCAGTGACCCTCAGGAAGTGTCAGGGCCAGCAATTACAACCCCCAACATAAACCCCAACAGTAGTTTTACCGAGCACCAGAAAAAGAAAGAAAAGGAGAGGGAACTTTCAAACAGAAGGTACACAATATGGAAAAAAACATATGGAGGAATTTATCATAGCTGGAGCAGACAGAATCTGGAGAAGTCGCCCATATTTACCAAACATCTTTTCTTCAGTTTATTCAGTTAAGCTTTGAAAATGAAAGATAGAAGCAGATTGGTTGCTATGGGCAACTGCTCTACATTCTGTGTGCTCAAGTTTTGATAAATTCCCTTCATAGTAGACATGTGCACTGCCAAAAAATTCGTTTAGTTTCGTTTCGTTTTAAATTCGGATTTGTGTTATTTCGTTTTTCAGGATTCGGGTGTGAAAGTCAATTCGGATTCGGAATTCGAATTCGGACGAAATTCGGTAGCGTTAGTACGAACGTTCGTTTCGTTTTCTGTTCTTATTCGTTTCGTTCGTACGTTTGCAGCAAAAGTGACATTTGAGGGGGAAAAAATATTTTTCTCCTCTAATGTCACTTTGCTCCAACGAACGAAACGAATAAGAAACGAATAAGAAACGAAACGAACAGAAAACGAAACGAACGTTCGTACTA